TTAAGTAAAAATCGATACAGGGCTTTAGAATATTGATACAGTATCGGGAAATGAAATATCGCGATATTTCAGTGTATCGATATTTTCTTGCACCGAATCGGTTATCGGCCATTAGAAGGAGAAAGTTATCGGTATCGGTTCTTAAAATAAGTTATCGTGCATCCCTAAATATTACATAAATATTTCAATCTTCTGGAGCTCTCTTCTTTTATATGAATTATCACATCTCTTCCACTTTACCTCTCTTCCTCCTTCCGTCGCTGCTCCTCTTCTTTTTCCCGTCGTTTCTGCTCTTCTCTCTGTCGCTCTAGTTCCTGTAGCTTCTGCCGCTCCAGGCTTCTCTTCTTTATGGCTGCATCACTGAGGTGTTTGCTGGTGTCAAAGGCCACCTGATGATTATAATAACAATAATAATAATAATTGATTATTCAAGTCAGTAAAGCTTTAAGTTCAGGCAAGAGGTGATGATATTTAACCTGTTGTCTTTTTGTGAATGCCACTTGGATAGAAAAACACCACACAGTATCTAATATAAAAAACAAGCATTTTAAAGCTCTTTTCATTGTTGCTTCCCTCATTTAGTTTACATAATTTTATTCTGCTAAGTAGAAGACTCTCTCACTGTCCATTATCTTAGAAACACTAAGGATTTAGTTTTAGATCTCATTACCTTAAAAGCTCTTAAAGCTACTTTGTCACTGACTAAAACCATCATCTGCACTACCTCATCAGCTGCCTTTCAGTATAGATGCAAACATTTGTTGGTACCTTGATGTTGCATGCCACTGCCTTTCCATCTTCTCCTTTCAACATCAGCTTCATGCCACGCAGGGTGTCCATGGACTTAGTGAAGCCACAGTATTCCTGATACTGGACGTAAGCCTCAAAGTTCAAATGACCCCCAAAGCTAAACGTATTGAAGTTTTTATCCAGCATTTCCTCCCTGTACGGATCCAGCATGGGGATGTCAACATTTCGCACCTAAAAAAAAAATAAAATAATATAAGAAAAAAAAAAATGTTTTGGTTCAATTTCTTGACATAAGAATTTAGTTATTAAAAATAATGACGGGAACAAATAATCAAAACAGGAATTTCACACATTGGGCCTCATGCAAGAACCGTTCGTACGCACAGATTTGTTCTTAAGTTGTGCGTACGAGTGATTTAGGAGAATTTGTGGCATTCACCAATGTTTTCGTATTCTAAGATTTTTTTCAGATACGAACAAAATTCACGAGTGGTCCAGACCTGTCGTATATTTTACGAGCAGTCAGTCTGCTGTTATCCAGACGGGTTTTCTTTATTAATAACTTTATACTTCGTTAGTTTGAAGATATTTTGAGTTGAAAATAAATCACACTCCATAATTATSTTGACAATAGGCTATTCTGCTTGAATTAGAGTTATAATTTTAAATGTAATAATTTAGACTAACAATATAAATTCTACGTCTGGCCTGCTTATCCAGGATCGGGTCGTGGGGGCAGCAGCAGAGAGACCCAGCTCTCCCCAGCGACACCTTCCAGCTCGTCCTGGGGGACACCGAGACGTTCCCAGACCAGAGGGGGTACACAATCCCTCCAGTGAGTCCTGGATTTTCTCCAAAGTGTCAGACATATATTGAAAACATGTTAAAAGGCTTATTTCAGAACCGCAACCGAGACCACTTGAGACCGCGAGCGGGGGGTACGGTGCGCAGCGCTGCAGCTTCTGAATAAATGAAAATGATTTAACACAGTTGTTTATACTTTTAGCAGCTCTTTTTATTCCACAGCTGWCCTGCTGAAAATGACAGATTTTCTTTTCTGGATCTCTGACAGACGGACTTCAATCTCTGAACTCGTAAAGTTCTTCTTTTTAATTTTCACTGTCATTTTCATGAATGAACACTTCCTTGTATCTGAGGCAGGACACATAGCCTTATATGGTGTTTTTGGGGTGGTAATTATGCTAATCTTCTCTCGCRTGCACGAGCAGCTGGATACGAACAGGAGGAATTTACGCAGCTCATTTACACACTTTTCCTGAAGATAGAAGAGTTTGTTGAATCTGACGTGACATGTTCGTACGAACCCTTCATACGAACAAAAGTAAGAGAAATTTAGGATAAGAATACGAACATGTTCTTGCATGAGGCCCATTGCCTCTATATCCATTTATCAATAAGAATAAAGCATACCTTGCCGAATGTTTGAAACACGGCGATGAGGACCTCTTCTGAAGGCCGATCAGGGAACTGACTGTCTTTCTGGCTAAACCAGCGGCAGGGAAGCCCTTCCAGGTGGATGGTATCGGGCCTCTCTCCTGGCAGAGTCTCATTCATGTCCTTGGCGTCACGGAAAAAGGAGTCCCAGTCGTGACGCGTCGGGAAATCCATTTTATTTTCTACTGCACGTACCTGGGAAAAGGAAGACAGAAATAAAACATAGTTACATACACAGTTAGTCTAAGGTTGTAGAAAATGTTTCTGGGGAAAAATATACAAATGTCAAGAACATATTTACTTTATGCTACCCATATTTATTCACATTGTTGCAAACATAATATTGCATATTATATATGTTGTTGTTCACAGTTCAKTTTAATCTAAGACACATTAATAAAAGTAACATGCTCCATACGGCATAGCTTGAAGAAAACTGCAACATTTACCTTCAGTACATCAGTAAATCCACTGAGTTTTATAGTCTTTCCATCAAGTCGACCCAACAGGCTCTTCACCACTGTCTTGTTTTCCACTTCGCCCTCAAAGCGAATGAAGTCTAAAGTGCTTTTGGAGATCCTCAGGGCTGAAAACTGCTCCGGAGCCACCATGGCCTTTACCCTCTCCATTACCTCCCAGTTGGAGATGCTCTTCCCTGGCAGCTTGAGTTGAGGCAAAGCCACGCTGACGGTCATTTTGGCTATGGGCTTCAGGTACAGGTTGTACTCCGCAGACAGGCACACCGCCTCTGATGTGTCATGGACGATGGTGGTCATTGTTGCAGACAGATAGGAGAAGCTGCAAACCAAAATGTTTTCAGACTATAAATGAATCCAAATGCTACATGCCAAACAAATAATTGAATAAATTTAACATTGCATGATGACTACACCGATACAAAGGCGATCATAAAAACTTCAACCTTCTCAGTTAGTAGATACAAATAAAATGTATTAGTGTCACGATAATACTAACAATAAGCTGACAGGTTACTCGCAAATAATGATGTCATAAGTATTAAGTTAACTTTAAAATGAACGCAAAGAACCTTGAAGGTCGTAAAATGTACAAATAATAACCAGGTAGTGAATCTGGGGGAAATACATTAATAACGATTTAATATGTGTTTAGCAAGTCGTACAAAGAAGTGACCCTATTGTAACTTACGAGCAGCTAGTTTAGCTTTGAAGCGTCTAGTTTATTTGAAATCACAATCATTTTTACCTTAATAAAACAATTCACTAATGTTAGATGTAAAATATGTTACTATAACTTACCAAACATCAGTGAGACTCTTGCCGAAAACAGCAGCAAAGGCTTTGAAGCGAGCCTACCTCCGGAGAGATACCAAAATGCTACATGCTAACTCAGCGAGTGAACTCTGACCTCATGCGGAACCAACGTGTTACGGCGCTGCGGTGGCGGAATTAAAAAACAGCGACACCGCGTGGCGAGGCGACATCCGTGACGTCTTCCCCCCCMAAAAAATCACTATTTTTTGAACATATAAACCTATTAAAATGACAGAAATTCAGCTCTGAAACATAATAAAAAATTAAGGCATAATACAACACTGTGCAGAAGTTTTAAATAACATTTATTTTTTTAAATTTGCATCAAAGGACTAAACAGCAAGTGGCAGACACATTTTTTTCACTCATTCTCATATGATGTGCCTGTAAGTGTCCTTGGGTGTCCTGAAAGGCGCTTTTCAAATAAAATTATTATTATTATTATTATTATTATTATTATTA